TGCCTGTTGTAGCATAGAAGTTTTTTGTTATGCTGGAAATGTGATTGATGCTCATTACATAGGATAAATATCCCACTACCTACCATTCTTGGTGATAGATATGTCCATTAGGTGCTCACAGAGATGGAGAATGAGCTGTAGGCTGGTCTTTGGAATGAGTAGTGCATAAACACGCATGTTCAGTATTGACTGAGCATTTATGCCTATGCACTGTGCAGACACACAATCCCAGGCTAGTCTCCTCAGAATAGTAGGTTGGATTTTCCCAGCCTATGGGTTCTTTCTCTATAGCTGACTGACCAGGAAGTGTCTGAAGAAGTCATAAAGTGGCCATAATTGCCAAGAGTAGGAATGATAATCTAATGTCTGTGAATATCTACAGACCCAATAGCCTTATCTCTGACTATGAACTGCCCAGGAAATATCTGGCCAGCAGCCTGTTGTACAGAATATCTGGTAGGTATTAGGGAACAATGAAGATGCATATAGGCACTATCTGTCTGTTGCTGATGTGCTCTACTATGTATCTGGGTTATCAACATACATTACAGTTACTGGGGTGTAACATTTTAATATACCAGGTCAAGAGTTGGCCACCTTTGGGACCTTTAACTACTTAGAAACTAAAATTCACATCATGCACTGCCAGCCAGAGACAATAGTGCTGGTATTTGTAGCTTCTAAACAACTGAAAGGCATCATATAAGTTTGAATTGCAGCCCCAAAACACAAAACCCTGGTCTTAATATTAAAAACAAAATCAACCTTACAGGCATGTTGAATAAAACTGCTAAAACATATAAAATATGCTAATACACGCGCATAAAATGAAGTTCTACCAAAGTCAGCGGGATTTGAATGAAAGGTACTGTTATTTTCAAGATCATTACACTAGAATTTGAGCAAATATTGTAATCACTTATAGGGTTGCTAGGTCTGTGTATAGACACTTGAAATGGATTTGCACAGCGGCAAACACTTCTTATGATTTGAGCAAAGCTCTGTTTATAACATACATACTATTCTATAAACAGGTGCATAATACATCATTGTACGAAATCAAGTTCATACAAAAGCTTATTTTAATGGGGAACATAACATTTAAAAAGGTGCCTATTTGGTAACATTAAGCAAAGAGCTGTTATGTTCTGTACATGAGAGCAGCCAATCAGTTTTAGCAAGTAATCACATTATGTGATGGTGTCTTGCTGTAGGTCCTAAAACATGGTCGTCTTGGATAGATTAAATAGATAGGTAATTAAATAAAGCCCTGATTTTTACTTTGAAAAACAACTATTTGTCTTTTGAACTGCTCCTCCGTGGCAGGATTTTAAAAGAATTTTTATGGTATATTCCAAAATTGCAGAGGGATGATATGGTGTTTCCTATATGAACCAATCAGATTCTCACTTTCATTTAAAAAAACATAACTATCGTAATGACAGTTCAGGTTTGATTAGTTGTTATGGATAACACCTCTTTTCTTGACCTCCATCTAATACCTCAACTTAAAGAGGAAAGAGTTAGAGTCTTTCTAATTAAAGTGACACTAAACTCAGGAGTTCAAATTTCCTTAAATATCAACAAAATGTAGGTTTTTTCGTGTATTACCAAGCTGGAGATCCTCAGATCATCTCTGAATTGGTGATGACACAGTCCTTCCTTCCTTCTGGAGGGTGGCTACTTTTGTTTCCAAGCTCCCATGATAGACTACAATCTCAATACAATTTAGTAAACTAAACGTGAGATTATAGTCCATCATGGGAGCGACATACACAGGGACCATGGGGAACAAAAGTAGCTACCCTCCATAAGGAAGGACAGTGCCAGCAGGAATTCAGAGATGATTTGAGGATCTACAGCCGAGTGATACACAAATAAGATACATTTTTGTTAATAGTTAATGCACTTTAATGCATTTTTAAGATACAGCTTCTGAGTTTAGTGTCACTTTAATCCTAAAATAGGACGGTTTAGGCAGCTCATAAGCATTCATTGGAGATATAAGGGCAGTATGATGTCTGAGCGAGCCCTTATCTGAAACCAACCATGCTAGGACAGCCTAGTTGGTAAAGAAGATGCTGCCATATATACATATTCAGATCTTGGAGTATCTATAGAAGCTTTCCCGTTACAACCTGTCTGTTTTAGCATGGCTGATTTCAGGTAAAAGATCAGACTTCACACAGCCCTCAAAACTGCAATGGAAGTAATACGTTTTTCACAGAGAGCCTGTTTAATGAATAGCATTTGTAGTGCTAAGTCAGCTCTCTCTATTATCCTTTTCTTATTAATCTTATACTCCCGTTCTGTGAAGCTGGAAAGAACTGACCATGAAATGGACTTAAAGAATTACATTTACATTCTATATACATCTCCACTGGATGTTTAAAATATATGTATATATTTCTACATACAAAAAGGATTAAAATAAGGTGTCAGAATATACAAAAAAAAGTCAAACTATTTAGCACTGACAGTTCCAACATCATTTAGATTCATAAAGCCATATACCACGTACATGTATCTGATCTGCTTCAGTCACATTTCTCACTGTTGAGGCACTGGCACACTGTGCAAAGATCATTCAGAGAAAGCATGTAGCTTTAGTTTGTCCACATTTTCAGTAACCGCGGCAGTATTTTGAAAAACAGAAGCCAAAGTGGTTGGAACAACTCTCTTTCTAATCAAGTGCATCATTAGGTTCTTAAAGCTAATCACATGAAACATTTATGATTGTTATGTCTAACTTGCCAAGTTCACACAAAAAAAAATCTCCATAGGTTGAAGATATTGACATTGGGTTTTCCAGGGAAGAAGCATCTCGATCTCTACAGGGCATGTTCAGCTACAACTTCAGAAATATTCAGTTACATGTAACAGAGATCCCCACACTTTTCCTCGTGAGCCCTAAGTGGCTTTCAGTTACCTCTGATGGGTCTCTAAATGCTTGAAGTTTTTTTTTTCTAGTGCTGTAAACTATAGCTCATGAGCTGAAACAAGAAGGGGACATCTGCAATGAGCTTTATGAAGCCTTTCACTCTTGTTCAATAAAGAGTTCTAATCCTTCAGTGTAAAGATTCATAGCAGCCAATTAAAATTTAAAGTCTAAAGTGAGTTCTGTATGTTTTCTCTAAAGTTTAATTGATGTCTCACACATTGTTATCTCTTCCTAGTCCTGTACATGTTATGATTTGTAAATATTTGTTTAGAAATGCTTTAAATTACCATTTGCTCTCCAATGGCAAATTGCCATTTGCCGGTTTCTGCACTCACAATGCAATGGTCTGTGCTTCCTTACACATACATCTATTGTAGAGAAGGGGAAAGTTTGCATCTGACCAGAATTATCACTCTTTATTGAACAGGACTTTATGAGACAACATATAAAAAGGGCCAGTAAACCTGTTACAACATGAATTCTACAAAATATCTATTTCAGAACTAAACATGAAAATAAACTGATTTGAACCATATATAAACATATGTACACAGCCACAGACACACACATATACACATACATATTGGTTTTCATAGCCAACTTCATGTAAATAATTCCTTTGAAGGACACCGTTGGCAATCTCTTTAAAAGTTACCTATACGGTTTTGGATTGCGTGACCCTTGCAAACCCCATCGCACCCCACCAGAGTACTTGGCCTGATAAATTGTGAAGATAAATATCTATTAGCCATGTCGGATTCTTAGTTATAATAGTAGCACTGAGGATGTCTGGTGAACTTAGAAGCATGAAGATCTCAATGTCCTTCAATGTCCCTGGACATTTTTAGCCTAAAATGGCTGATACTACATAATGGCTGAAAACAAAAAATGGACTTTGCTGCACATGAAATATAAATGGTCTCGTGCAGGTAATGAAGAATTTCATGCACACTGTATCTGTGAACAACAGTAGCAGCTGTTCTTGAAAACTAAACTGTGTTTCAGGTTTACTGGCCCTCTAATTAGCTAAACAGAGCAAGCCCATAGAAATATACAACTATCACTTCTGCCCTATGCACTTCATGCCTTGTTACATTTCTTAAACCCAAATTATTTTATTCTTATCACTTTTACTTGAGAGTAGAACAAGTGCTAAAATCATATCCCCAATGCATACACCGTGTATACTTTGGAAATAATTGGTGACATGACAGTGCATGCAAACACCTCATCACACTGTAGGAAAATGCATAGCCTCTCAGAGTCAGTCTGGAGCATTAAATATACTTTTTCTGGCTGGATGAGTATATTACTCCATCCTCTCTAGCACTTAATATTGTGGCGCTGAGATGTCATGCAAAAGGCTGGGAGAAATTTTAATGAAATATGCCAAGCCAGCATTCTGTTCACACATTCTGATATAGCAAATAAAGTTTGGCTTATGTTTCTTTCTGAGAAGAAACAGAACTGAAAACCTCAGAAATGTTTTCTAATAAATAGTGCACATTCCTCAATGCAACATTTAAATTCAAAGTTGAGTGCTTCTGTAAAGGCACCCATACCAACTCATCATGTCATCATACAACCAGCCTTCCAACCCTGACATCTACATTGGAGCCAATAATAGGAGATGTGCAGGCTTTTTTAATATGGCAATTCAGACAGCAATGATAGCAACAAATCAGAATTCAGATGAGTTGTTAAGAGAGATCACCATCACTGCCATTTTCATTGCCCTGTTGAACAAGAATACGTTTTGCGTTACTATGACCATAACCTATTGCTAGACCAATATTGTAGTACATTGCAAATACCAGACAGGTTTAGTGCTAAGGTTTCTAAAACAAGACGGAAATGTCAGGTTGTAATATATTTCAGGAGAGGTGCTTTTGCAGGTTAGTCTCTATACATTCCTGGAAATTTGGTTAAAATAAGTGCTGCAGTTCATTCTACAGAACTATGATGTAGATTAAATTGGATTCAATTCAATTTACAGAACAATGTGGCTTATTTAAAATGACAGTGCAAAGAGTAATAATTGACAGTAATCCTTGGCAACCATTCAGCTTACAGAAGTCAAAAGAGGTGTTTTCTGGTTGCTGTGGTTACTGTACTTTGTACATTCCTCTTCACAATATTATATGAAGGCCATAGTATAAGAGGAAACAAACAAAAAAAAATGGATTTAAAGACATAAATCTATCATACAACTCATTTCAATAAAATCTGATGAGCCTGCTTCAGAACCACTTTGTCTCTGTTTGGCATAATACTAAAAACATAACAAAACAACAATGCAGGTTATAAATCACAATGAAGAGGAGGGTCTTCAGTATACTTAGAATAATGGTACACACATAAAAATGAAATAGACTACGATGTAAACAAAAAAAAGAACAGTTAAGATAACACTTTAAATTGTGATTCCATCAATAATATGCAGTAAAAGGAGTGTCCGCATCGTATACTCATCTAATGCGGCACATGTTGAATGGTTACATGTGTTAAAAGTAAATGTGTTACAATAGTCTAGTATATTATCCTACGTGTGTATCTGCTTTCATAGAGCAGTGTTGCCTTTTTTTTATGGTTTCGTATTTTTTTGTTTTCCATAGTGCGGTTTTCAGACATTCCCATGTAATTTTTTTTCTTTTTGGTTAACATGTAGACTGCAGCAGGCTTACGGTCGAGGCGGTGGAGGATGCCAGTAATGGGTATTTACAGAAAGGCCATGTGTAACTTCCCACGGAGAGATTCTGGTACCCCACAATTCTGCTGTTCAGAATTTTAACATGGTCTACTAGAGAGGAGAGAGAGAACAAAGAATAGGTGTTATCAGACAGAACTCTCTTACTACTACTACTAGAAAGATAGCGTTTCTTCGAAGTATCTAACCTCCTGATATTCATGTAATGTTCTATGAAATAATTCACAATTCTGATATACTGTGTAATATAAGTACCTCTGTGGCTTTAATTTTGGTAAAATACATATATCAAATAGAGTATATTAAAGCTGAATTCCAGACAGGTATAAAATACACAAATTTATTACCAAGTATATTTTTTTAAATGAAGCTAATGTAGCTACCTAAATTTGACCTGGTATCAGCCTCTTCCTATAACCCCTACAGCAGCACTTAGGAGAAGCAGGACCAGGGGCCAATCTGGTATGCTGTGTGCAAATGTTTTGACAAGGAACATCATGATAGTAGAAGAGAGCAAATGAACAGAGAGATAACCTTGTCAGTTTGTTGCTGCTCTTTCACTGTCCAGTCAGCAAGCTGAGGATGGATAAAGTACACCACTGTATTCCTTAACTGTAAGTGGCGTAATCCACCTGTAAATCTATGGAATGGATGGACAGAAATAAAAATTCAAATTGACAGGTACAACAGCTACCAAATATGTATTTCGTCTGTGTACTTGCCTGAAGTTCAGCTTTAATCTAATATGTATTTTATAGATGGACAATATAATACTCCACAGCAAGCCAATCAATCTAGTGGGGAGAACTAGAAGATGTCAGATGTCTTGTTTCACACTACTAGTAAAAGATATGCAGTTATAATTTACTACTTCTATGTAATAACAAAGAGGCAGGTAACTTTGTAGGTGTAACAGTAAGCCTCAATGGTAGCTAATAAAATGATAAATGTGAAACATAGGTTTACACAATAAAGCTGCCATTGAACCTATGATTCTTGGTTAGATTTGAACAGTGTAATTAAATTTGTCCATGTTGCCACGACAACAGTTCACCGCAATAACAGCTTAAATGGTTGAAATTAAGTTTCCAGAATTTGTTTTATAGGGTTTTCTTAAGGGTAGAAGAATGGCGTAATAAACTCCTGAACGAACATGAACTGGGTGTGTGTCTTGGGGTATCTGCCGAAGTGTCTAATTCGGGATATATGCTGATCAAGTAGCTTCACCCAAATACAATTGCCAAGATTTTTTTTTGCATGTGATTTAATAATTGAAGTTAGCACAGCTTCATCTAATTTACTAAGCCAAGTGAAAATTAACTGGTGCATAGGTGAACAGCCTTCACTCATGTGGTCATTGTTTAATTTGTATGAGTGACTTCTTTCCTTGAACTTCAACCTTTTGTAATCACATTTAAAATAAAGCATATTGTATATAATACGGATTTCCACATACTAAGTTAAATAGAATTGGTGAGATTCCTTTCCTGGAATAGATTTTTCTCATTGCAGTGATACACGTTCTCCATAGAATACACAAAAGGCTTTCAGACCAAACATGGGATAAAATCTTTGACAAAACACATTCTACACAGTGAAAGATTTTATTTTAATTGTGAAAATTGGACTCTACAGATAAAAACTGGTTATCACTTAAACCATGGTTTAAAAAAAACAAACAAAAAAAAAAACATCCTAAATCTAGCAATCAGGTCTCACTTAAGTTTTCACATGAAAAGCAACACTAAGCAACATATTATGAAGGCAACATTCTGCAATGTTGTGATAAATAAAAGCATTTAACTGTTGCAACTCTTAAGCCAATCATTGCGATGGTTAAAGCAGTAGAGCGCAAGTTCCTATATACTCCCTGGTGTTCTAAACAGACATATTTTATTTTAATGAGTTATGCTTGCCTACCCGTCATAAGATATAACAAAATAAACCTGACCTTTATTACTGCTGGCCATAGACAGAATACATTTTCAACTTGGAATTACTTATGAAAATCAATAACTGCCATCTCAGTTTTGGGTGAATACTGGTGGGTTTAATCACCGTGAAGCTTCTTAGGTCCCTAGTTCTGCTTAGCACAACATATTGTGGTTGGCTTTTTGAAAAGCACTGTCACTGAGTTCAAGCTGCTTTCCTGTATATGATGAATGCAATAGAGTACAGGTGACCACACAACCCAACTGGTTGCTGAGCAAGATACAAAAGTGGACAAAAAATGAACATTTCAATTAAAACCTTTTTAATCAAAACTTTTTTTCAGTTTTGGATAGAGTAGGGAAGGGTTCAAACCTATTATCAAAAATTAGGTTATTTTCTGTTGTCTGTGTCCTGTTGAAGAGACTTCCTTTTTCCTTTCTTGGAGATGCAACAGGGAGTAAGAAAAGCTATCCCCCAAAGTGAGCGTTATTGGAAGATTTCCCATCACCTTTTGCTCTCATGACAACTCTAAAATGTAGGATTTCCACCTACTTTCATTCTTGGTGACAGTGGTCACCAGGACAAATAAAGGGGGTACATCTCACCTGCAGGGACACAGACCACAATAACAACTTGCTAGAGGGTCTAACTTTAGCTTTTATGTACATTTGATAAAAGATCTGGCTGTGTATGGCCACAATAAAAAAAAAGCCTTTTAGGAAAAATAACATGTAGGCAAAATATAAAACTGACTGATAGCCTATCACTACTTATACAAGCAGGGGCAGTCATTACTTAAATAAATGTTACAAAATATTTAATGTTGAGATGAAAACAAACTTACTGTTCTACTGGTAACATCTGTGATACATACATGCTGTTATTCAGTTCATCTAGTGAAAATAGGGACATCTACAGTGGAAAAGATTTGAAATTAAAATCTCTTTTGCTGAGAATGCTATCTATGATTGCCTTCAAGGGCGTGACCATAGTTAAAGTAGACCATGCAGTGGCTATGGGGCCCAAGCAGCAAAGGAGTACTGTCTTTGGCCCCATCACATACAGTTACGCCCGTGACTGCCTTATATGGTGGTGAGTGAAATCAGACCCATGACCATAAAGTCACAGCTGTCTGCTTACTGTGGGAGGCTCTGGGTCATGTGTCCAGACTGGCACTTTGAGTGGCTGGGACATGCATTGTTAGGTCACCTGCTCAATGAAGGATAACTGGATACAAAGTGGAGTCTATTTGCTAAGGCAGCACTTGATTAGTAGTCGTAGTCCATGTTCTATTTGTCTCACAACTTGGTAGATATTTTTTCCTATAGTATTGGACTTTAATACAGAATCACCATGGCAGGCATAATCACAATTTGCTAGATATTTTAAATGTGTATATATAT